CTGTTATGAGATTGTTCACACTAGAACTATTAGACATAACAAAATTTATTTCATTGGTTTTCTTATGCCATCTATCTCTCATAGTTTCTCTCTTTATCAGAAGTTGGTTATACGATGCACCAATAGATTTTTTTCCTGTTCTGTCATATATATATATATATAACAATGGGGGTGTCACTAAACTGTAGTTGTACCAAATTGTGTTTTAATTAGAAGTTTTCTTTTTAGTTTTTGAGATGTTGTCAAGAGTGATTTAATATGATGAGATATGTTTTGATTTATCTGACTAATAAAATTTTTACCATTATGCCTCTATAATGGTGTCCATATTATCGCTTAATGTGTTAGATTCCTTTACACGGTGCTCACATAAGCGTGTCCACTACATGAGTCAATTGATCAAAATGACGCAGCATTTCTTTCACAAAATTGCGAAACTTTTTTGACTCATCTTTTCTCTTTCTCTTCCTTGTTTTTCTCTGATGAAATTTCCCCAATATAAATAGCTGCAGATGAGAGTGAAACTCGTATAGCCAGAAGTTTTGTATGATCTTACATGGAAGATTTTTCCAAAGGAAAACAAGCACACTTCAGTACTTCGTGATACTTCAGAGTATTTATTCGTACTCCTGTCTATTTCTATGCTCTTTTAAATCTTTTCTCTTTCAAAACCACTTCAGAAGCGGTAGACTAGAAAGAGCTCATTTACGCATTGCATTTTTAAAAAGTATTATATCTTTGCTGAAACGGCTCCCTTTCACGGTAAGTTTAATTCGATATCTATGAGAAAATCCTAGAATCCCGTGATAGGATGAGTAAGTCAATAACTGTGAATTAGAAATTTAGATCAAATTAAAATTCCATTGCGTTTGTTCTGATGTTGAGATCAGTATAGTAGACTTAATAATATGTATATGAAGGTTATGCGACCTTCTTCTTTTGCCTTTGTACATTCGTCAAAAGTCGGTTTTTGACTCGTGAAACTTTTTGTGAGAGAGCTAAAAAAGATTTTTTTCCAGTCTACTTGTGATCCAGATGATACTGTACGCTGCAGGTGTCGTATGCACGATGAGTGAGAAGTTTTTGACTTTATTATTTTATATTTTAAATAGAGTTTATTTAAGAGAAAGTCTTTACTTTTAGATATTAGAAACGATCCACTAGAAAATGAACAAGAGCAGGAAGAACAATAGAAACGACAAGAAGGTGGAAAAGGTGACGTTTTTTTATTTTGAAAAGCAAAAAAGCAATAATACATGCAGAGTGCATGCTATCAACAACGCTCTTGGAAGATCGATTCTCTCTCAAGAAAAGTATGGTTACTATAATACAGTGTGTCTCAAAAGTTCCTTCCCAAAAAGTTTTTTCGTCTATCTTCACTATTTTATTTAACTTTATTAATAATTTCTTTTTTTTATATTATAGGTGAATGCTCCAAGTTTTTGTTTCTATTAGCGAAGTCCGAAAGTATTCTTTAAAGCTATTGAGTATAATTGAAATACAAAAATTTAGCTTTTTTTCTATTATCAGAAAATTGTTTTTTTGGCATTTTTCTCTAATAACTTCAACTTCTTGCTTCATTCTTATTTTAAACCATCCAGATCTTTAGTAGTTGTTTCATAGATATCTGTGGTGATATTGCTTAATAAACACAATTCCGATATGTGAACTCAAGTCATCCAGATATTCCTGTGGGATCCATAATGAACTCAACAAAGTTGTGGTGCGATGTTGATCTCTGTTTTTTTTTTGATGAATCAACAATTAATTAACAGAATTTCCTTAACACCTTCAGAAGCTTTTATTATTCAATTTTACAGAAAAAAGATTATTGAAAAGGTATCATTTGCAACAAGATATAGCGCTAACACATTCCTCAGGGACAGTTCGCTCATAGATGAACGATGAGTTTGATGATCAGTGGTCGGAAAGAAACGGACCGATCTCATGGGCTTTATAGCACCCGCAGTTAACAGCATCGGATTTTTCTCTTTATGAGAACATACATTACAGATATCTGTAAAACAATTACTAAAGATCTGGATGGTTTAAAAATAAGAATGAAGCAAGAAATTGAAGTTATTAGAGAAAAATGCCAAACAAGATTTTTCTGATAATAGAAAAAAAGCTAAATTTTTGTATTTCGATTATAATCAATAGCTTTAAAGAATACCTTCGGAGTTCGTTAATAGAAACAAAAACTTGAAGCATTCACCTATAATTTTAAAAAAATTTATTAATAAAGTTAAATAAAATAGTGAAGATAGACGAAAAAACTTTTAGGAAGGAACTTTTGGAACACACTGTAGATCACTTTTGTTTTTAAATCCGTCTGTTATATTTTTCATTCCATATATCCAGGTTCTTGAAGTATTGTGATGAATTCGACAAGCAAAACCGTTGCAGTGGAAGTCGAGAGTTCTTCTTCATTCATTCGAACGACAACATCATCAGTTTCATTCTAAACAAATTTCATGTTCAAAGTTCATATTATCCTCCGGGTAATCCGCCTGATCTCAGGTAAGAACTCCACCAATCATTTCATCTTGATGAATACAGAGTGTCTCGAAAGTCACGCTACACTTCGTATTGTACATATTTGTCACATTTAAAAAATATTTCTCATTAATCATTACTTATAACTCATTATCGACCTTCAAGAGGACTTTCAGGATACTCTATAGGTAATAGATAATGTTTTATAAATTACAGCCAAGAAATGATGATAAATAATGTTCAAACACATGCAATATGCACAATGCGAATTGTAGTGACTTTTGGGACATTCTGTATATAGTCAAGAGATTATATTTTTACACTGTGGCTTGATTCAGTTCAATTATCATTTTATAGCGAAGACTCATGTGATGATATTATGGCAGTGATGGTTTTCAACGGTGGTCATATCTGGTGCAATAAGAAGCATAGCAACACGTGGTACGAGTTGGATTCATTATCCAATGGACCGAAAACAGTTGAGTTTCGAAGTATATTTGGTCGACAAAGATTCGGATGGATCATTGTTTGGAACAATATTAAATCTACATCAAAGAACCAACCTTTCGAACCATATAGGGTGAATCAGCCTGCAAAATCATCATCGAAGCAATCATCAAAATATAATCGCATGAAAGAGGACATTGTTTTTGACGAATCTTTCTGAGTCTTCGACAGGAAATAAATCAAGTTGAACGAAGCGTTTTGAAAATATTGTCTGCTACAAAATAGTAGTCTCAATGAACATAATCATATGTAAAAATTCTCACAAACGGGAATTTAATTGGTCTTGTTTTCGTGTACCTGATCGAAATATTCTTAAAATTTATAATGCTGATCGTAAAATGTCTTAAGACTGCTTTCATTTCCAAAAGAGTGTATCTTTTGTCAGATTGGATTTAGCATGAAAGAATATGAAGTAGAAGTTAAAAGAAAAGAAACGCACGCGTTCACTTTATTTTATATGTGATTATGGGTGTGGGTGTCTTTTTCTGCCACTGATATCCACACCCAGTGAATAATATTTCTAGATCCGAATGAAGTTACCTACAAATCTAGCTGTTGTTCTTCTTTGATCAAATATTACTCGTCCCACGTGAATAAATCAAGTCATTGAAACAGTTCTATGCTAGCATTGTTTAAGCAAGTTTGGAATTATATAATTATTTTTATTTAACAGAGCTGTTTGAGCCAAGAAGTTGTGTTCTTGTCTTGAGAACACTATTCTTTCAACCATCACCTATCCATCAATCCAATTTCTCGTTAACGATACAATAATTATTAGAAACAATCTCTTTTTTAAAATATTTTGGGCCATCTAAAAAGCGCAAACATTGACAAAATATTTTCGCTTTGGCGATAATCTTTCCATGTGAAACGAAGTCTCATTGAAACGACAACATACCTAAGCTTATAAATGATATTCTTGTCTATAATAATTTCTAGAGTTTAAAAATCTTTAGTAGTATATAAAGAGCCTTCTCAATACAAGAGTCACTAATCTTCATTCGCAAAATTACATTTTCTGACAGTTCAAACATTTCCACACCATCTTCTCGTATTGAGAGTTCTTTACCTAGAACCGATGTTATTTTTCTTATAATAATACTCGATATCTATAATTACTATTGGCTCCAATGAAAAGTTCCATTGAGATAACGACATCTCAGCAACTCATTCCCTTCGAAATTTATTCAAAAATAAATTCACGTTTTTTTCTTTGAGTTTACTTCAAAATATTAGTAATCGCTTATTGCCTTATCAAATCCGTTTCACGTTGAACTTTACAGATGCTTCCGAATAACATCATAAACCAATTGAATTGTGAAGTCTAAATGTTTTCGTGAGACAAAAAAGAATGGAAACTCTATCGACAACTCATTCTTGAACATTCGTTCGATTTTGATGATTGGAATACAATTGTGAGTACGGCTCTGTGTATGAACAAAAGAGATTCCCACCCACACCTACGCTGTCACAACCCAAGCGAATGTGAAGACCTATAACGATGTTTCAAAGAATGTCGACAGTCGACGAAATTCAAATTATGAGCATCGTGGAGTAGTCAACATGGAGTCGAAAAAAGACGGCAACCTTCATTGTATTACCAAACAATGAAACAAATACTCTTCATTACTAGAAATTGAATTGTTTGTAAGTCATCATTTTAAGAACTAAAAACAAGCTTGATTGCAATCGTTGGTGTTCTATTACCTCTCTTGTCAAAAATTGCAGGAAAACTTAGAAAGCATAGCAAACATTCGCTTATGTAAGCAGTCGATGCATATTGAGTCATAGATACTGTGCAGATATTTGGCTGTAGATGTCGGTGCTTATAAACAAAAAGTCCATATCCAAAAGAGAAAAATAAGTATAAAGAGTCTAGAATGAAGCATGAAATTAAGGTGAGCCTTTGACAGAAATATCATTAGAGATCTTATCGATACTATTTTTCTTAATGTCTGTCAAAACTTTTAGAAAGATCAAATAGAAGATTGATGAGTCTAATCAAGATCGTAACGAGGATTATTACAAGCACAACGATAATAATCATCAGCAAGAGTACCAGTAGGATCTTCACGAAGAATACCATTACGGTCACGATAATAACCACCATTAATCATACGACTAGTACGATGATCACCGCCGGCACTAGGACCAGGGCGTACAGCATTCAAAGCATCTATAAATGAAAGTAAAATTACACTACTAGCCCGACAGAAACCATTATAAAGACGAATAGCCGGATTAGCATGATTATCTAAACAAAAAACAAATGTCTGTTTTGTATTTTTATCTAGAACTGTGAAAGTAACTATTAATTTTTCTAAATTATTTCAAGATTCAGAACTTTTTAGCTTATAAGGGTGTGGGTGTGGGTGTGCGCTGTAATCATGTTGAGATGATCGATATCCATATTCATTCCCACATCCAGACACCGTCACCCACACCCAAATCCACACCCTATATTCACATCCACCCCCTATACCCCATACCCGTACACCCACACCCTATTACTGTAAAATAGATTTGAAGGAAACGAAAGAATCTGTGATTTCGCCAAGGTACTAAATTTGCGGATGTGGGTGTGGGCGCAATTTAGCTCGGGCTGGATATGGAATGTAGTCGCGGATGCGAATGAAGAGAAGACACCAACATCCACACCCAAACGCACACACCACACCTTACCCACATCCACACCCTTAATGGTCGAGAGAATCTACATCCACATGATGCAGTGCGTATTCTTGAAGCACTTTTGAAGAAATCATTCCAAAAATATGTTGAAGTTATTAATTTTCGTAAATCGATACCAAAATATCAGCCGCTAATTAAAACATATTGTTAATCGAATATTATTTATCAGTTATCAATTCAATATATTCAAGAAATCGGATGCATACACTGACGATTAACTATACATTTTTAAGTTGAATATTAAGAAAGGATAAGTCAAATAGTTTCCAATCCATTAAAATATAGTGTAATTAAGTTTGATTTATAGCCCAATTCAATTGTTATTAAAGATATAGATAAACATAAACATGAGCCTCTAAACATCACCCCCATAGCATGGGCAACGACCGAAATCAACCAGCGCCTCAAATATTTTATTTCATCAAGCAAAAATTATTAGTCAATCAACTGCTAATGTCCTAGTCTACTTTGACATAGATTTGACTGGATCTGCTTCTATATTTACACATGTAATATGCATATAACGTGTTGGTCTTCATTAATATGTAGACAGGAAAACACGAATCTTCATATATCACTCAGTTGGTACTGAAGACCGCCGAAATCAAGTAGAATCTCAAATATTTTAATCCAAGTATTTAATACTTGACGATTTCGAAGTGACTTACGAGCTGGTTATCCCCAACGCAATCGACATAAATATAGTTAACCCCAAGATCAATTTTTGCTACTAAGATTGTTATATAGAAAATGAGTTTCATATTGGTCGTTGAGGTTTTTACCTAATTGTTCTGTTTATTATTATCAATTTATGAAATATGGCCTAGTTCAAATTAATTATATTGAATAATTTGCAAGAATCTAATCTGATATTATTCTATTTAGTTATTTCATTAGAATACTACTTTATTTGATTTTATTGGAGATAATACACTAAACAGTTTTCTGAAGACTTTCTTCAGAGCTTATCGAACAATTCCATCAAATAAAATTCATTGATTAATCGATCGCTTAAAGAGCTTTTTCTAGAGAAGTAGACAGAGCAATTTTGAAAATTTTTTACGTTAGAATTTTACATGCACATCATTTTTCAATTATTTTCTCCAAAAATTCTTTTGTTCTTTCAAATAGGATTTAACCACATTTAGTAAAAACTTCAAGCATGACAAACTTTAACGCAAAAGCTCGAATATCTCTGTTGAAGCAAACACTTGACCTTGATCACACATGAGTCGAAAGATATGGTTTGAAATATTATTACACAAATCTTTTCATGAAAAGTTTTATTTATTCTTGTTTACTACTGATAGATCATTTCACCATCTCCATTCTCAACATTTAAAATCACCGATTTTGAATTTACCAGCTGATTTAAGATTCGCCATCCAACTCCAAATAGAACTATGTACGGCGTTACTTGCTCCTAAGATAAACGCTTCACCACCGATCTCTTTCCATGGGTCGGAAAAACATGCGAATGTCGCTCTAAATTTCTTAAGGTTTCGTGGTGAGCTCACACATTGTTTACCGCAAATATTGATGTTTGATCCGATCTAATTTCTAAGATCATGAATTTCTTGTGCCGGAGCGTTCTAACACTCATTCGATTCAAAATTTCGTTCACATTCCTCAGTTGGAAACTAGAATTTTTTTTCACTTAAAGCAATATCGATTAGATAATAGCATAAAAAGCTACAACAAGTGCTATCTTGTTCATGACTTTTTTTGTCAAAAAGACCTGAAAAGAAATTAGGTAAGATTCATTGTCGATTTTTCTTTTTGGATTAAGTTATTCATTTATACAACTGTCCAACTCAAAATGATGATCTTTCCTGAAAATAAAAATAAAATCAGAAGCTCGAAACTTAAGTATCAAACAGAGTAGTACCTGTGAGCATTGAATATAGCGAAGTAATAAAAATCACACCACACCAAATTATTGTAGTTATTGATGAGTATGGGCTAGAACTACTGCATCGATATTCTTTTCTATAAGGAATGTTTTTAACGATACGCCATATATCTTATTAAAAAAATTACAAAAATCCAGTGTATATTTGTGTGTAATTGCATTGATTTACATCGATTGCAGGTGATGCTTTTCTCTCATGCCTTTATCTAATAATGATCGAAGTGGCCTTTTAATGCCAATTGATAAAGAATAACTAGGTATCACTTGCTTTTAAGAATACAGAAGCCAGTGACAATGGTCAGAGATGGAGTGAATATACTCAGTATTGAAAGTATATTTGATGTTTCAACCTATATGAGCCGATTCTATCATATTGATGAGCACTGTTATTATGTTATATAGGTAAACATTGTCGTTTCTACAGAGATAAGACAACGAATTATAGCAAGTCAGAGACGGTGTGGGTGTGTGAGGTGTGAGTGTGGACATGACTGTGGGTGTAGGTGGATGTGAGTGGATGTTGGTGTCGACTGCTCCTAGTCCATAGCCATAGCGTCTCACACCTACACCCACACCCAACGTGCATAGGGAACAAGAATAATGTACCAGAGAATTTTCATGATATTAAGATTTTTTGTCTAAACTTAGATGATCAAGAATATTTTCAGGATTGGACACGTAGTTTTCAACGTATAAAAGATGTCATCACATATAATGAACTCAATCAGAAGTAATTATTGTTTGAAACAGATTATATCAGAAAACCACATTCTAATTTTCGACATGATCAAAGTATCATCAACTTATTCAACGAAGATTATACGAAGATGTGTTTGGTATTCGCTGATTGTTTCATGCGAGAAGCTAACAAACAAGATCAATACATTCGATCAAGTATAGAAACTTCTTAACTAATTAATCCTTTCTTGACAAAAGTTTCGTGTCATCAATAGGTAGAAATAAAAAACTTGCATCTTGTAAAATCTTTTGTATAAGCAACATACAAACTAAAGTTACCTTCGAGATTTAGTAATAATTCCCTCGAGGACGTGAGGGCAGGTGAGTTTGGGTAAAAGAATAGATTGATGGGGTAGCCATCCTATTCCGCGATGTTGAACATTGCGGAATCAGTTCCATAGAAT